CTTCCTGTCCTTCAACGCCCTGATGGACAGACCGCTGGACGAGGGCGTGAAGATCAAGGTCCACTGACCACTGTCTGTCGGTCTCTGTCTGTTGGCCGCTGTCTGTTGACCTACAGTCTGTTGACCGCTGTCTGTTGGTCTCTGTCTGTTGACCGCAGTTTGTTGATCTGTCTGTTGATCTGTCTGTTGACCTCAGTTTGTTTGTCTCTGTTTGATGGTCTCAGTCTGTTGACCATTGTCTGTTGATCTCTGTCTGTTGACCACTGTCTGTTGATCTCGGTCTGTTGGCCACTGTCTGCTGCTCTTTGTCTGTTGGTCACTGTCTGTTGACTTCAGTCTGTTGACCATTGTCTGTTGCCCACTGTATGTTGGGCTGTTGATCTCTGTCTGTTGATCTCTGTCTGTTGATCTCTGTCTGTTGACCGCTGTCTGTTGACCACTGTCTGTTGCCCACTGTATGTTGTCTGTTGACCACTGACTGCTGATCACTGTCTGTTGATCTCGGTCTGTTGGCCACTGTCTGTTGATCTCGGTCTGTTGGCCACTGTCTGTGTGACCACTGTCTGTTGATCTCAGTCTGTTGATCTTGGTCTGTTGGCCACTGTCTGTTGACCTCAGTCTGTTGATTTCAATCTTACTTCAGTCTGTTGACCACTGTCTGTTGACTTCAGTCTGTTGACCATTGTCTGTTGCCCACTGTTTGTTGACCACTGTCTGTTGACTTCTGTCTGTCGTCCATCTGTTGACCTCTGTCTGTTGACTTCAGTCTGTTGACCTCTGTCTGTTGACCTCTGTCTGTTGCCCTCCAGTCCGGTCCAGACCCTGGTCTAATCATCTAACAACAATTTTTAACGACTTCCCGTCGTCACAGGAAGTGATGTCACTCAACGTCCTTTTTTTTTATTTTCTTCCTCTCTCCGTCTTTTTTCTCTCCTCCTCCAGGGGGCGATACTGAAGTACCTGCCGAGCATCATCAACGACGTCCAGACTGTCTTCGACCCCGTGGAGCTCAGGTAACCTTTGACCCAGGTCAAAGGTCACAGACTGCTAGAACTCCCCCCCCTCTCTCTCTGATTGGTCCGTCTCCTCCGTCTCCGTCTCCGTCTCCGTTAGCGTCCTCCTCACGAAGTTCATCGAGAGCATCCCCGACGCCCAGCTGGTGCGACAGAAACTGGGCTGCATGGTCAAGATGGTGGAGAGCGACCTCTTCTGGCAGCCAGGTGAGAGGTCAACGGGAGGTCAACGTCGGGTCCTGTCGGTCGGTAAAGAAAG